GGCAAGACTAAAACTCATGGTCTCCCGGTTTCTACCTTTTAACCACTACACCAAACTATTCAAAAATAAATGATCATCAATGCTGCAACGTTTACAATGGAAGTAAGAGGACAGAATTATAGCTAGATGTATTTCTTAATCATTATAAGCGCTTTTTGTTAGTATTTCTATTTGTGAAAATCTGATTTATTTATGCTAAAGTAGGACATTCACTCACCTGTTTTTATTCCTATGGGAAATGATAAGTGAAACAGAAAGAAACATCTTAATTAAATGCCTGAGGTCAAACTGCGTAGCAAAGTGATTAAGGGCTGAGAAAGAGTAGAGGAAGTGGAATTATTTAGATGATGTCTGCAAATAAGTGTTATGTTGAAATTATATAAAAGGAAGCATATTATAAAATTAGACCACTAGTTTCTTCAAATTCCTTAAAAATGGTGTGCATTAAATATAGTTCAACATTTGTATGATTATTGCTAATGTGGGAATCTTGATACAATGATTTAGACCATATTTTTCAGTATTTCTGGGTCACAAGCCTTTTAAGAATTTGGAAAGTTTCTACCAGTGGGAAGGCATCAAACCTCCTTGCCTTTTGTTCTATCATTGTCATGCTGCATGGAAATTATAGGCCTAACACACATTTTGGGGAAAACGTGAGTACGCAGTTATTGTAAAGACGTAACAGTGATCAGACTTGATATAGAGTAGTGTCACCTCTTCCTGTAATGTCTGGATTTCTTGGCTCAGAACACAGATTTGTCTTTGCCATAGATTGCTGATCAAACTAAGCTGTGCTTTATGGAATCATGGATTACTGAATACATTAAACTTGGTAGCATGCTAAGTCATCATTATAGTTTAGAAATCACAGGACTGGATTTGCACCACACAGTCACTGAACCCAAACCAACCAGATGATAGCTTAGCTCAGTGCTTGAACCGAAGAATTGGATGTAACGTGTAGGAGGTCCATCTGCTAAATTTCTCAATTAGCCTCTTTTTTCCTGCCAACAGGGAAAATAAAAAGACCTTATTAAGGTGGGACTTCGAATTCTTAACATTATCTCAGTCCTCTGAAATTCTTGGTACAGGTTCACCCTTAAAGATTGTGCGCATGCATGTTTTCTTTCCTTAACCATCATTCACCCCTCTTTGAAGCGTGAAGGGGAAGCAAGCGTAGAAGGGATTCTTAATCAGCTTGTCCTGGAGCAACTGCAGTTGGCTCCTCTCCAGTGGGGTGAGTAATGTAAAGACTGATCGTTCTACCAAGTAGATTTTCTGATGTGTTGTTTCTGGCTGAACCACTTTGCAAAAGCATTGAGAAACTTTCTGAAAAGTCGACATGGAGTCATTTTAATGCTAATTGGAAGCCTTTTTTGGACTTTTTGCGTGAAACAGAAAAGAATGAAATGATGTGGTACAGATTTGATGATTGGAATCAGTATTGGACAATAGAAAAATGAAAGTTATGTTGTAAACTTAGAGTGAGAGTTTAGTGTAAATTGTTACTTATATCTGTTATGAGGAAAGTCGGAAGTCATTCTTTTTTGTATTTTTCTTTCTTCTGCACTTTTGACTGTGTTCTTTTTCTTCCTTTTCATTATTTCTTTTTCCATTCTTTATCTTTAATATTAGTTTTTGTTAGTTTTTATTGTTCTTGTTTTAAATTTTAATGAGGTTATTTGAAAAAAAAAAAAAGCTTCTTTGAAAAGTTGAACAGTGCAAAATGCCACCCGTGCTTTTTTGGGGATCATTTATTAAATCATTGAAGCAAAATGGCTTAGTATGAAATTATTGTCTCTATATTTAGTTCATTTAGTCATGGGAAATCATCCAGAGTAGACATTATTTTCCTCAAAGCAGTTGCTAAATGTTGGGTTATAGTTTTGCTGTCTGCTCCAGTGGACTGCAGATGTGTTAAAATACAGCTTTTGGTACTTTGAATTATACAATTATTGTCATCCTTTAAGTTACAAATTGCTGAGAATGTTCTCTGGTGTCCTATTTCTACCTGGCTGCTCCTTCTAGAAGTTGGTCTGGGAACTTTATTTTTTCAGTTCTGTTATTAGTAATTGGTGCTTGATTTTATATATTAATACTATACAATGTATCGATGAAACCATGGGATTGAATGGAATATGAACTGTTTTGCTGATGGTGCTGCTGCTGTTTCTGTAATCTATTTTTGTTGTCTTACCATTTTGATTTTAAGTACAGGTAGTCCTCGCTTAACAACCCTAATTGGAACTGGAATTTCCATTGCTAAGTGAAACATCACGTGACCACATCGCTTAGCAATGGCAGTTCCAGTAGTCCTAGTTGCGGTTGTTAGGCCAGGACCTTGTGCTTCTCCTGCCCTGCCACGCTCACCTCCGCTTCAACTCCCCCCACCCACCTATCTCCCCTCCATCTTTGCCCTTTTGGCTGCACTGCACTCTGCTGGCTACACCTGCCATCCCCCTCCAGTCCCCAGTTGACCTTTGCCATCTTCCTCCTCCTCCTTGGCACGGAGGCTCTGTCACTGCAGGCTCACTGCCACTGCCGCCACCCTGGGCTCCTGGTGGGTCTACCCCGCTTCAGCAGTCTCAGCCCACCACCCATTCCCATTTGCACGTCTGGTCTGCCTGCGGGGCTCCGCACACCAGACACAACTTGCTGCCTCCTCCCTTCTGTAAAGCCTCACAAAAGGTCAGAAGCTTCCAGTGCACTGAAGCCCCCAGACTGATTCTCCAAGAGTGCTTCCACTGCACACTCTTCAGCTCACATTGGAAGTGTTCCTGGAGAACCAGCCTGCGGGGTTCAGTGAGAAGTGGAGGAGAGCCCAGCACCAACAGAGCCTACCCGCAGGCCTTCTGCTCACTGTCTCTCACAGCAGTGTGATGCGAAGCCACATTCACCCAGCCCAGCAGCATGGCATGAAGCCCTAGCCACAGCCGCCCTCGCTGCCCTGCACTCCGAGTCCCTGCCGCCCCGGCTGACCTTCACCATCTTCTTGATCCCTCTGCAGTTAAGGCGTGCCTGGCCTGGCCCTTCGCACAGCAGTTGCTGGCCACATGAGGCTTTCTTCCCAAGGTCTCGCAAGGAAACTGCCGCATGCGACCTTGGGAAGAAGGCCTCGTGCAGCCAGCAGCTGCCTTGCGTAGGGCCAGGCTGGATATGCTTTGTCAGTGGGTGCGAGAAGATGGTGAAGGTCAGCTGGGGGCTGCAGAGTGCAGGATGACAGGGCCAGCGGAGTGCAGGGCCAGTAGAGTGTAGGGCGGCCAAAAGGGCAGAGATGAGGGGGGAGATGGGTGGGGGGAGTTGAAATATCCCTGTGGTTGTAAGTGCAGGTGGGCTGTCAAGCACCTGAATTTTGAGCACCATTTATTCAGCACTGCCATAACTTTGAACGGTCACTGAATTAATGGTTGTTCAGTGAGGACTACCTGTAATGTGTTTTGTTACTCTGAAAGCCTTTGAATCGAAGTATTTCGAAACGTGGTTTTTAATTAAAAAAAAATCATGGGATTTGTGTATGGCTGTGATAATTCTGTCATTACTGGGTGTTGATTAGACAGTTTGCTTCGATTTCTAAGCCAAAGTAAAAAGGTCCAGAGTTCTTCTACAAATTGCCTTTCTCTAAAATAATCAGATGTATGGGGCACCTGCTGGTGGCTGTGGCTCTGCACATTGCCTGCCTGCCTGCCTGCCTACTATCTTTCTCAAATATAAAAAGTCAATCAATCTTTGTTGTCACAATATAAGTCAGTCAGTACTTGTATTAGTTTGTGATGGCATGTGTTCATTGTATATTATAGATTTAAGTAATCATGCTTTAGTGATTCAAGCCCACTTCCAAACTAGCTGCCTTTAACACAATAATACAATAATAACTGAACAATAATTATCTTGCTAAAACTCCAAAAACTCAAAAGACTTTTGAAATTTATTCTAAATTTTGCTTTATTGTTAGACACTGAATCTAAGAGATGATTAGTCTTAGTGAAAGAATAGCAATTATGGAAGATCAGTTTTAGGGAGTCAAAAAAAAAAGTTTTCTTTTCCTGATTAACCAAAGGGATGTGAGTAGATTTTTAAGTGGATAAGTACTTATTGTAAGAAGATGTTTTTTATACTCAATCAACATATCTGTGAAAAGATGGTGCAGAGTGATTCTGATTAGATTTGGACATTTGTGGTGGAGGTGGGGTCTGAATATTGATAGTTTCAAGTGGATCACTGTAACACTTAGTAGAGTTTGGCAATGGTATCTTCCAATTTTGTGGAAGTTTAGAAACATTCTGTCCTAGTTTGAAAATCTATTTAGTCATTCTTTCCAGTTGAAGGAGCTGGATATTCATGAGAAGCCATCAAAGCAGGTCCTGCTTTCTGATGCTGTAGAAGGTGATGTGTAATGTTAACTTCAGAAGTTGGGAGATTCTTGATCAGGGCATCTACCACCCCAATCCTGTGTATCTTCTCAGTATAACATCATAGTCTTTATACTGGTGTGATGGCTACATATCTTTTCTCTACCTTCTTTTGTGTTCCTAATCAGAGCTGTTGGAAGAGTTTGTGCTTCTTGTCCAGAGTTGCTCTCTGCTGCTGCTAGCCATGCAACTTTCCTCAAGAAAATTCAAGGAAAGAATATCCAAATTAGCAGTATGTCATGGTGCTGATTCAGTGATTACTTTCCACCCTTACTGCAGATACTCCAATGGAGAGAGTAAGAGATCATCTGCCCCAGAACTATGACTTTAAAAAGATGAGAAAAAGAGAGAACAGATCTTCAACACTTATATGATACATACAAGTGGATGGTCAGACTTCTGTGGTCATTTAGCAGTGAAAACAGCAAGGTGTTATACACTGTTCACTATTCAACAATAGTGTCTGTTTCTTTTCTTTTCTTTTCTTTTCTTTTCTTTTCTTTTCTTTTCTTTTCTTTTCTTTTCTTTTCTTTTCTTTTCTTTTCTTTTTTACATACTGTATCTCCATATTCCTTATTTGCTAAAACAGTCTTCTTTCTAAAGCTATGTAAGTGTGTCAGTAATTCCAGACGTGAAATCCATTTATTATTATAGTATTAAGGAAATAATCCATTTGATCGTAGCTGTTTCTAGATGGTTGCTAGGGACAATACTTGCTTTCAGTACAGCGTTTAATCAATGCCTGTATCTTGGGAGTTCCTAATATAATAGTAAGGCTTCCAGTGTGACTATTGTTATGAGAAGACCAAATTTGAAAGTGTCACTTCAGATCCTTGTTATTGGACCCAGCATGCAATTCACTCAGTAATAAAAAAGGCAACAGAAATGTACTTGAGCTAAGAATTCTTCCTCAAAGAGAGAGTCTTGAAAGAGAAGCAAACTGATAGGAGCATCCAGTATTTCCCAGCTCAGCTATATCTGAACAACAACAACAACAGATCACAGTTTGTTGCTTTCCTTCCAGTTAGTGCTAATCACAAACAAGTATACAGTAGTAGAAGACCAAGCATGTGGATGGATATTCTGTTGGTTAGCTGTATATACATTTGCTTTTATTTAAAATGATGAAAGAAGAATCTAATATTTGAAGAAACCTGGTACATAAATTCCTAAGACGTTTTTAGAAAGAAAGCATCACTATTGGAAAATGTTAAAGCTTCATTAGTCAATTCTGCTGTTTACAAGCATTCTACTGCCTAACATCCTGACCTAGAGAAACTAGCCAGATATAGACATCTGATGCCATTAGTCATCTGAAGAGGAGTAATGTGGGAATCTAGCAATAACAGATGGACAGAGTAGTGGGAGAGCTAAATAAAATTATTAGGGTTGATTCTGAGGGTTTCTGAATTTGCAGTTTGAGGTCTTTGGACTAATTTATAGTGGTAATTCTTAAGATGTAGGCCAAGTAAGGGCTCACAGATGTGGATTTTGTGTAACAAAAGTATACAATAACAATGCAATTTAGTAAAAAGGGGTGTAGAGAAGAGTATATAATTTGGTAAATAAATTTAAAAAATTAGTGACATTGGGAAAATTTAGAATTTATTACATTATCTTGAAACAAGTTGTTCTGAAAGATAAGCAAAATAAAAAGCCTGCCGTGAGGTAAATAAAGTTATAATGCTTTGGTTGACATAGCAGAAGGTCTATGAACAGGGGAACAATAATATTAGCTTTTTGATTCCTGGAAAATTTATAGCTTAAAGGTAGTTGGGTGTGTGCTTTAAGGGCCAGGAAATAGACTTAAATGAACTTTGATGTATCT